ATTTTGTAAATTTTTACGATTTTTGTGATTTTCGTGAATTTTTATAATTTTTGTGATTTTTGGAAAATTTCATTTCCATGATTTTCATGATTTTTATAATTTTCGTAAATTTTTATAATTTTTGGAATTTCAATGATTTTCCAAATTTTTACGTTTTTTATAAATTTTTTTTGATTTTTGTCAATTTTTATAAATTTGGTGATTCCTGAAAAATTTCATCATTTTTATGATTTTTGTGATTTTCGTTGATTTTTATAATTTTTGGGATTTTCGGAAAATTTTATCATTTTTATGATTTTTGTAATTTTCCCAAATTTTTATAATTTTTGTAATTTTCATAAATTTTTAATTTTGTGATTTTTGGAAAATTTTATTTATTTTTATGATTTTCATGATTTTTGTTATATTCGTAAATTTTTATTTTTCTTATTTCTGAAATTTCACGATTTTCTAGATTTTTGTAAATTTTTATAATTTTTGTAAATTTTTATTTATCAAGTTTTCATAATTTTTGCGATATTTGAAAATTCATACGATTTTTGTAATTTTCATGATTTTTGTGATTTTCGTAAATTTTTATGAATTTTGTGATTTTTGTAAATTTTTATGATTTTTGTCATTTTTGAAATTTTTTCGTTTTTCAAATTCATCGCTTTGAAAATTTTTGTGATTATCGTGAATTTTTATGAATTTTGTAATTTTTGGAAAATTTTATAATTTTTATGATTTTCATGATTTTTGTAATTTTTGTAAATTTTTGTAATTTTTTAAATTTTCATGATTTTCCAAATTTTTATGATTTTTGTAATTTTTTCAAATTTTTGTAAATTACTATGATTTTTGTGCCTTTCAAAAATCATAATGAAAATTTATGAAATTACAAAAAATCGCGAACATCACAAAAAACTACATTTTTTATCATTTTTATGATTTTTGTAAATTTTTAGGATTTTTCAACTTTTTACAATTTTTATACATTTTATTGATTTTTGTAAATTTTTATGATTTTTGTGATTTTCGAAAATTTTTATAAATTTTGTGATTTTTGAAATTTTTATGATTTTTATAAATTTTTGTAAATTTTTATGATTTTTGTAATTTTTGGAAACTTTTATGATTTTTGAAGTTTTTATGATTTATGTGATTTTCGTAAACTTTTATGAATTTTACGATATTTGAAATTTTTTATCATTTTTATGATTTTCGTAAATTTTTATGAATTTTGTAATTTTTAGAAAATTTCATCATTTTTTTGATTTTCACAATTTTTGTGATTTTCGTAAATTTTTATAATTTTTGTGGTTTTTGAAATGTTTACGATTTTTATAAATTTTTATGATTTTTGTAAATTTTTATGATTTTAGTCATTTTTTTAAATTTTTATAATTTTTGTGATTTTACTGATTTTTGGAAAATTCCATCCATTTCTATGATTTTCATGATTTTTATAATTTTCGTAAATTTTTATAATTTTTTAAATTTCTACGAATTTCCAAATTTTTACGTTTTTTATAAATTTTTATGATTTTTGTAAATTGATTTCTGAAAAATTTCATCATTTTTATGATTTTCATGATTTTTGTGATTTTCTTTGATTTTTATAATTTTCGTGATTTTTGGAAAATTTCATTATTTTTATGATTTTTGTGATTTTTGAAATTTTTAAGATTTTATAAAATTTTATGATTTTCGTTGATTTTTATAATTTTTGTGATTTTCGTAAATTTTTATGATTTTTGTCCAAATAGGCTTATGGAGCTGAAAGTGTCTGCCATCAAGGTGATTTGAGAAAGGCAGGTTGCCTGGACAACTGGATGACGTCACCTGACGTGCCTCAACATAATGCAAATCTCCATAAGGCACCCCAGATGCGTCATCAAATTACCTTTTACCAGACAACCTATCAACTTTAGGAGCGTTCTTCTTTTTGGTTATTGGCCTCTGTTCACATAGGGGCAATTTGCCTTGGTCTATCATGTCCACGCGACAGCTTCCCATTATTTGTGACGTCAGCCGCAGACCCCAACTTTTAGCGTAAAATGCATTATACGAGTTTGAAGCACAAATTCCTACACATTTAAATTACCTTTTAATCCACGTAAAAATTAACTCTCAAACATTGCCCGAATTGCAAGAAATCCATCGAGGTCTGTAGTAGTGACGTCATCCGCAGACCAACTTCCGAAGCGCTTTATTAGATCGAGAAAAGCTATTTGCGCCGTGTTTGTTTTTCCATCTTTTTCATCGATTTGCTCCAAAATTTTAACAGGCACGAAATTGTTTCAATTTACAAATCACGCGCCTGTCGATTCTAAATTGGCTCTACCAATTCCAAATGCTTGGAACCCAAGATTCCTAAAGTTAACCTCATTCAAACAGCCTTGACCAAAACCATAAGTTATTTCTGTCTGTTCCGAAACCGTTTGCAGTTAAATGAAATAGAACTTGTTCCGGAGTAGATTCAGGTAAGTATACATATCATACAATCATAAATACATTTCTGTTTCGCAAGAAAATGAAGTTCCGAACAGGTTCCAGAGTGATTCGGAGTGTGATCCGTTTCGCGTGAATGTTGCCACTCCGTTTTAATCCACCTCGGATCATTTTTTGATTAATTGGGTGCAATTTTGAGACACGCTGAAAGCGCTACTAGTTGTTTGGACTCAGTATATTTACAGATTCCTGTAATAATTGATAGATTCTTTTAAACTGCTCAGAGCTTCAACTTCTCTTTCATAGATGGCGCCACTTGATAAAACATAGCGTTTTTCTCATTTAGTTAAAATGGTGTTAAAGTTTTTGGATTTTTCTCAAAAAAAAAACCACGCAAACCGAAAACAATTTTTATTTTATCAACTTTTTACTCATTACAAAACTAATTGAAAACCACAATTAATAACTCAGGAACGTTTTTTGGCGCTAATGGCCGCCTGTTGTTGACCGCCACCGCCAGAGGGCGGTAGCTTGGTAGGATCGTATTTGAAAGTTTTTTGAAGGGGTCCTTTTCCGGCTCTTTTAAATTGCATCTCGTCCAATCGCTGCCTCTCATCCAATTCGCGGGTTAATTTCAAATTTGTCCAAGCTTTAATTAATTGAATTTTTGTTAATAATAACTCTGTTCCAACTGTTCTAGAACCAGTAATTTTCTGTTCTAGAACAATTAGAACAGAGTAAGTTTTCTACTTACAATCTTTAACTCCTTCGGTGAATCCTTTGGGTTTGGTGGGCAACTGATCCGGAGTGAACGTCACCATGCGTTCGATTTTGAAATAGTCCCGGACTTTGGGTATGCGCAAAAAGGACACTTGAATCAGCGAAACGAAATTGCTGGACACCCAGTAGCACAAAATGGCGCCGGGGAAATTCATGGTGAACGGTATAATGATGATGGGCATCGCTCGCAGGAAATATTTCAGGATTACGGCGTTTTGGGCTGATAATCGTCCTGCGTCTGCTCCTACCTGAAAAAACAGTTGAATTTTTCTTGACAATCGAATTTTTTCGACAATAATTTTTTTGACAATTGAATTTTTCGACAATTGAATTTTTTTGAAAATTCAATTTTCTGACAGGTAAATTTCTTTTGAAAACCGAATTTTTTTAACAATACATTTTTTGACAGTTACTTTTTTTTGACAATTAAATTTTTTTGACAACTGAATTTATTTGAAAATTAAATTTTTTGAAAGTTTTATTTTTTTTGACATTTGAATTTTTTGTCAAATAAATTTTTAATTAAATAATCCAACAGCCTCACAAGACTATAACACGAAATTTTAAAAGTCCAAGAAAAAAGCCAACACTGGCAACGTTGTACCATAATAAAAATTTTAACTTATTTTGACGTTTTTGACAATTAAAAAAACAACAAACGGACTCACAAGCCTATAACACGAAATTTGAAAATTCCAAGAAAATATACAAACAGTGGCAACACTGTAAACTAATAAAAATTCACTTATTCTGACATTTTTGACAATTAAAAAATCCAAAAAAAAATCCTCACTCACAAGCCTATAACATGAAATTTAAAGTTCCAAGAAAAAAAAAAACAACACTGGCAACGCTGTAACATAATAAAAATTTGACTTATTTTGACGTTTTTGACAATTAAAAAATTCAAAAAACAGACTCACAAGCCTATAACACGAAATTTTAAAATTTCAAGAAAAAAAAACAACACTGGCAACGTTGTAACATAATAAAAATTTGACTTATCTTAACGTTTTTGACAATTAAAAAATCCAAAAAACGGACGCACAAGTCTATAACACGAAATTTAAAAATTCCAAGAAAAAATACAAACAGTGGCAACACTGTAAAATAATGAAAACTTCACTTATTTTGTCATTTTTGACAAATTAAAAAATCCAAAAAAAAAGCCTCACAAGCCTATAACACGAAATTTTAAAATTCTAAGAAAAAAAACCAACACTGGCAACGTTGTAACAAAATAAAAATTTAACTTATTTTGACGTTTTTGACAATTAAAAAATCCAAAGAACAGCCTCACAAGCCTATAACACGAAATTTTAAAATTTCAAGAAAATATACAAACAGTGGCAACACTGTAAAATAATAAAAAATTCACTTATTTTGACATTTTTGACAATTAAAAAATCCAAAAAAAGCCTCACAAGGCTATTATAACATGAAATTTTAAAGTTCCAAGAAAAAAAAAACAACACTGGCAACGCTGTAACATAATAAAAATTTGACTTATTTTGACGTTTTTGACAATTAAAAAATTCGAAAAACAGACTCACAAGCCCATAACACGAAATTTTAAAATTTCAAGAAAAAAAACAACACTGGCAACGTTGTAACATAATAAAAATTTGACTTATTTTAACGTTTTTGACAATTAAAAAATCCAAAAAACGGACTTACAAGCCTATAACATGAAATTTTAAAGTTCCAAGAAAAAAAACCAATACTGGCAACGCTGTAACATAATAAAAATTTGACTTATTTTGACGTTTTTGACAATTAAAAAATTCGAAAAACAGACTCACAAGCCTATAACACGAAATTTTAAAATTTCAAGAAAAAAAAACAACACTGGCAACGTTGTAACATAATAAAAATTTGACTTATTTTGACGTTTTTGACAATTAAAAAATTCAAAAAACAGACTCACAAGCCTATAACACGAAATTTTAAAATTTCAAGAAAAAAAAACAACACTGGCAACGTTGTAACATAATAAAAATTTGACTTATTTTAACGTTTTTGACAATTAAAAAATCCAAAAAACGGACTTACAAGCCTATAACACGAAATTTAAAAATTCCAGGAAAAAATACAAACAGTGGCAACACTGTAAAATAATAAAAAATTCACTTATTTTGACATTTTTGACAATTAAAAAATCCAAAAAAAGCCTCACAAGCCTATAACATGAAATTTTAAAGTTCCAAGAAAAAAAACCAATACTGGCAACGCTGTAACATGATAAAAATTTGACTTATTTTGACAATTAAAAAATCCAAAAAACGGAATTACAAGCCTATAACACGAAATTTAAAAATTCCAAGAAAAAATACAAACAGTGGCAACACTGTAAAATAATGAAAACTTCACTTATTTTGTCATTTTTGACAAATTAAAAAATCCAAAAAAAAAGCCTCACAAGCCTATAACACGAAATTTTAAAATTCTAAGAAAAAAAACCAACACTGGCAACGTTGTAACAAAATAAAATTTAACTTATTTTGACGTTTTTGACAATTAAAAAATCCAAAGAACAGCCTCACAAGCCTATAACACGAAATTTTAAAATTTCAAGAAAATATACAAACAGTGGCAACACTGTAAAATAATAAAAAATTCACTTATTTTGACATTTTTGACAATTAAAAAATCCAAAAAAAGCCTCACAAGCCTATTATAACATGAAATTTTAAAGTTCCAAGAAAAAAAAACAACACTGGCAACGCTGTAACATAATAAAAATTTGACTTATTTTGACGTTTTTGACAATTAAAAAATCCAAAGAACAGCCTCACAAGCCCATAACACAAAATTTGAAAATTCCAAGAAAAAATACAAACAGTGGCAACGCTGTAAAATAATATGAATTTCATAATTTTAACGTTTTTGACAAGTATCAAGCCTCATAAGCTTATAACACGAAATTTTAAAATTCCAAGAAAAATAACAAACAGTGGCAACACTGTAAAATAATAAAAAATTCACTTATTTTGACAGTTGAAAAATCCAAAGAACAGCCTTACAAGCCTATAACATGAAATTTTAAAATTCCAAGGAAAAAAACAAAAAAATGACAATCGAATTTTTTTGACAATTAATTTTGAGACAGTTGAATTTATTTGAAAATTAAATTTTTTTGACAGTCGAGTTTTTTTGACAATAAATTTTTTGACAGTTGAATTTTTTTTGAAAACAATTAATTTTCTTGAAAACTTGTTTTTTTGAAAAAATTCTGTAACGATCTAGAATGTTCCAATTTTTTTTAAAATTCATTGGGATAAATTTAGATTGTTTCAAAAAATTTTGGAACTTTCTAGAATGTTTCAAAAAATTCTCAAAACTTATTGGAACAGATTGAAAACTCGTTAAAAAGTTTTGAACTGTTTCAAAAAATTCTGAAATGTTCAGAAAAAGTTTCAACTCGAAATTAAATTGTTCCAAATGTTGTAGAGAGTTGAAAAATGTTCTGGAACATTCTAGAATGTTCCAAAAAATTCTGAAATGTGCCTAAAAATTCTCAGAAGTCGTTGGAACAGATTGAAAACTTGGAAAAATTTAGATTGTTTCAAAAAAAATTCTGGAACAGTTTAGAATGTTCCAAAAATTCTTAAAATTTGTTGGAACAAATTTCGATTGTTCCAAAAAATTGTAAAATGTTTCAAAAAAAAAAGTTTAAATTAAGTTATTAGGAATGTTGTAGAGAGGTAAAAAAATGTTCTGGAACGTTTTAGATTGTTCCAAAAACTTTTGAAATGTGCCTAAAAATTCTCAGAAATCGCTGGAACAGATTGAAAACTCGTTGGAAAACATTTGGATTGTTTCAAAAAAGTTCTGAAACGGTCTAGAATGTTCCAAAAATTCTCAAAATTCATTGGGACAAATTTGGATTGTTTCAAAAAATTTTGGAACTTTCTAGAATGTTCCTAAAAATTCCCAGAACTCGGAATAGATTGAAAACTCGTTGGAAAAAATTTAGATTGTTTTAAAAAAATTTAGAATGTTTCAAAAAAAAGTTGAAACTTGAAATTAAGTTGTTAGGAATGTTGTAGAGAGGTAAAAAATGTTTTGGAACGTTCTAGAAAGTTCCAAAAAATTCTGAAATGTGCCTCAAAATTCTCAGAAGTCGGTGGAACAGATTGAAAACTCGATGGAAAAATTCAATTGGTTTAAAAAAAATTTTGGAACGGTCTAGAATGTTCCAAAAATTCTTAAAAATTGTTGGAACAAATTTATAGCGTTTCCGATTAGTAGATTCAGTGCGCACTTAGTGTATTTGCATCCTTTTAATCGACCCGTAGAAGAAAGAGACAGAAATAGAAAAAATTGCACTAGTTCCGCACTAGATCTGCCAATCGGAAACGCCATTAGATTGTTTCAAAAAATTTTGGAACTTTCTAGGATGTTCCAAAAAATTCTCAAAACTGTTGAAACAGATTAAAAACTCCTTGGAAAAAATTTAGATTGTTCCAAAAAAATCTGAAATGTTTCAAAAAAAAGTTTCAGCTCAAAATTAAATTGTTCCAAATGTTGTAGTGAGATGAAAAATGTTCTGAAACGTTTCAGAATGTTCCAAAAAATTCTGAAAAGTGTGTTTAAAAGTTCTCAGAAGTCGTTGGAACAGATTGAAAACTCATTGGAAAAAAATTTAGATTGTTTAAAAAAAAATTCTAGAACGGTCTAGAATGCTCCAAAAATTCTCAAAATTTGTTGGAACAAATTTATATTGTTTCAAAAAATTCTGGAAAGGATTAGAATGTTTCAAAAATTTAGGTTGTTTCAAAAAAGAGTTTAAACTCGAAATTAAGCTGTTAGGAATGTCGTAGAGATAAAAAAATGTTCTGGAACATTCAAGATTGTTCAAAAAAATTCTGAAATGTTCTAAAAAATTCTCAGAAGTCGTTGGAATAGATTGAAAACTTGTTGGAAAAAATTTAAATTATTACAAAAAAATTCTGGAACGGTCTAGAATGTTCCAAAAATTTTCAAAATTCATTGGGACAAATTTGGATTGTTTCAAAAAATTTTGGAACTTTCTAGAATGTCCGTAAAATTTCCAGAGCTCGTTGGAACAGATTGAAAACACGTTGGAAAAAATTTAGATTGTTCCAAAAAATTTTAGAATGTTTCAAAAAAAAAGTTTAAACTCGAAATTAAGTTGTAAGGAACGTTGTAGAGAGGTAAAAAATGTTCTGGAACGTTCTAGATTGTTCCAAAAAATTCTAAAATGTTCTAAAATGTTCCTCAAAATTTTCAAAACTTTTTGGAACAAATTGAAAACTCGTTGGAATAAATTTAGATTTTTTTTTCAAAAATTTTGGAACGTTCTAGAATGTTCCAAAAAAAAGTTTCAACTCGAAATTAAGTTGTTCGGAATGTTGCAGAGACTTCAAAATTTTTTTGAAACGTTCCAAAATGTTCTAAAAAATTCTGAATTGTTTTAGAATGTCCCTAAAAATTATTAAAACTCGTTGGAACAGATTGAAAACCTGTTAGAAAAAATTTAGATTTTTTTTTTAAATTTTGGAACGTTTTAGAATGTTTCAAAAAATTCTGAAATGTTCTTGAACGTCTTTAAAAATTATTAAAACTCGTTGGAAAAAATTTTGGAACTTTCTAGAATGTTCTTAAATATTTTCAGAACTCGTTGGAACAGATTAAAAACTTTTTGGAGAAAATATAGATTGTTCCAAAAAAATTCTGGAACGGTCTAAAATGTTCTGATAAATTTTAAATCTATCAAAATGTTCCTAAAAATTCTCAAAACTCATTGAAACAGATTGAAAATTTAGTGGAAAAAAATTTAGTTTGTTTCAAAAAAATTCTGGAACGGTCTAGAATGTTCCAAAAATTTTCAAAGTTTGTTGGAAATTGCACTTTTTCGACAAGGCATCAATGACAGTTGCTATTCGAATTTTCTGACAGTTAAATATTTCTTGACAATCAAATTTTTTTGACTATACAGGGTGTATATTTTAAGTGATACCACTATTGCTATATCCGAAATGGTAAGAGCTACAAGGTCAGTTAAATTATAAAAAAGTTGCCTATTTTGATGCCCATTTAAGATTCGTTTACAGTGTTGCCAAATTCCTTTTAGATTCTGAAATACAGGTTCATAACTAGGGTCGAATTGAGGTAAAATTTTGGTAAAAATCACTGATGATCACTTTTCAGATCAGAAGCGTCGACCAATCATACTTAAGAGGTATATCGTTAAAAAGGGAACAACGGGTGCTTTCTAGAAATGACATAAAAAATCCAGGTCCGTATTTAAAAAAATTAAGTTGATGATGGTAGCTCAATCACGAAACGTCGGATTCAAAATTTGAAGATGCCATATTGAAGAGCGAAAAAATTTATAAAACTTTCAAATTTAAATTATGTCCCGAAAATTAATAGTTTTCGAAATAATTGATGAAATATTTTTAGGCGTTTTTTAGAAATCACCCTGTATTTCCTAAACTAAAAGAAATTTGGCAACACTGTAAACGAGTCTTGAATGGGCATAAAAAAAGGCATTTTTTTTCTAATTTAACCGACCCTGTAGCTTTTACCATTTCAGATATAGCAATAGTGGTATCACTTAAAATATACACCCTGTATTAGGCCTTATTTTTGGGTTTAAGTCAACAATTGAGTGGCAGTAAAAGTATTTTTAAAAGTATTTCTATTGTTGCTAGGGTTGTCAAGTAAAAAAATTAAATTTCTAACATCTCGACAAAGTGTCATTTTTTTGACATTTGAAGAGACAAATATAAATGTCAACCTTTGAACTAAAAATGTATCAACTTTTGGTAAAGTGAATTTTTTTTGGGATTGTCAAAAAAAAATCTGTCACTTACCTCAATAGTTGCCCACAATGTCAAACTAGTAATAACAGGCATCAAATAAAATTGATCTGGCAACGTCAAATCGGTAAACCAGAAAACACCGCCGGTCCTCAAACTGTCAACAGGTACATTGGCCATTTGCCTCAGTCCCATGAAAAATGACAAGAAAATCGGAGCCTGAGCCAACGGCACAAGCATATTTTTGAACGGATTGACGCCCTTTTCTCTCATGAAAACCATTAATTCTTGGCTGTACCGTGCGGCGCCCATTGAGTCGCCCGTTTGCCGTGCTTCGGTGATTTTCATTTGTAAAAGTTGCATTTGCGGCATTATGTTGTTCATTTTGGCCGCGTTCCTTTGGGCCAGGATTACCAACGGGAACAGACAAATTCTGATTATTAAAGTACCTAGAAATATTAGAGTTTAAAGTGTTTTCATTAGGAAAATTTGAAAACTTTTTCTCTATTAGTTTTATTGAAGGAAATCAAAATTTAAAACTTACTCAATACTATTGTGGCCCACCATTCCAGACCGACAGTGGCGTGCAAATATTCCATGGCGCTTTGCAGAATACCTACTGGAGTGGACCCGCCCAATCCCAAAGAGGCAAAAGTAGGTTCGCCCAGGGCATTGAGCTGATTTATTGATTCTGCTGTCCAATCTGGAACCAATGGCGGTTCAGGAATTGGATCTAAAAATAAATAGAGTTTGGATATAATTCTGAATACAAATTTATTGTTTATATTTAATACATAGTAGATATTGAAAAAATAATATTTGCTGAAATTGTAGAGTCTTCAAATTCTTTTATGGTTTACCTGTAGTGTCCAAAGATTCACTAGAAATTTCCGTAAAAGGAAATGAGGTGTCTGTTTCCGCTAATTGAGCAGCACAAATGAAAAAATAATTTGTTAGCTGTAAATTGAAGAATGTTTCAAAAAATCAAGTGAACTTGGTGAAGCAAAGTGAAAAACAAAATTGCAACAAAAGACTCTAAAATTACTTCCAGGAAATTGAACCAATCACATATTAACACAATGTTAATGTTTTACCTATTTTTTATAAGGGAAAAAATACCTCCTACTTACCATATTTTCCAGTTTTTACAACAAAATAATCTGAGTTAATATCAGAAATTGTAGCTGCATGGTTTAAAACAACAACTCATTAATTAATTACTTATAACAAATAACTAAAAATACCTTTTTTAAATATTTGAGGAGAATCAATATCTTTATCCAAAACTGAAGCAGGCACTTTTTGATTGAAATTTTCAAAAATAGTCTCTGAGCAGCATTAATAGAAAAATATCAAGTAAAGTTCATTCCATGGAAACATAGCATGGAAAATTTGAAATTAAAAATAAAAGCTTCAAAATACGTCATATGCAAATGTCAAACCAATCTTTTGCAAAAAGAATGAAATTGTTAAAAATCTATACATTTTTTTAGCAAGAAATCTGGTAACATAATTTTACCTAAAAATGATAAATTAATTTGATTTGAATTTTTAATGGAAAAATTTGAAATTGAAAATAAATGAAAAAAGCTTCAAAATATGTCATATGCAAATGCCAAACCACTTTTCTATGTGCCAAACTGATCTCCTAGAAAAAGACAGTGTTGCCATTAGTTATTTTCGAGGGGGAATCCACCTACCTAATTTCGTACATGAAAAATTCTAAAATTCTGCAAAATGCTAATTTTCGTGTTATTGTCTCAAAAATTTTTGAAGATTCTAAAAAATTCCAAAAATCCCTACAGATTCGACAGGCTCTTGTGCATACGGAATAGGTGAAAATTCTAAATTATCTGAAAGAATGTTAAAAAAACCCAAAAAGTTGAAGAAAACAAAAAACCATAAAAGTGTAAAAAAACAAAGAAGTCAAAAAAAGTTGAAAAAAACCCTAAAAAGATTGAAAAAAAAAAGGTTGAAAAAGCCCCAAAAAAAAGTGGAAACAAAACGAAAAAAATTCAGAAAATCCAAAAAGTTGAAAATTTCAATTTTTTCAACTTTTTAAATTTTTTTTATTTTCCACTACATACCCATTATAATTGTGTTTTTTTTTATTTCATTTTTATTATTTTTTTTTATTTTTTTATTTATTTATTTATTTATTCAAAAATTTTATAATTCCTTTTTTTTATTTTTATGATTTATTTGAATTTTCATGATTTTTATGAATTTTTATGATTTTTGTAAATTTTTATGATTTTTATAACTTTCGTAATTTTCATGATTTTTCTAATTTCTATGATTTTTTCGAATTTTTATTTTTCGTAATTTTTGTAAATTTTCATAAATTTTTATGATTTTCTGAATTTTTATGTGTAATCGAAAAATTGATTTGTTTTTCTTTTCATACGTTTTTGTAATTATTTGTAATTTTCGTAATTTTTGATAATTTTCTAAATTTTTCTGATTGTTTTAAATTTTTGTGTTTTTCATTAATTTTAATTTTTATCATCTGTAAATTTTGTATGAATTTCTAAATTTTTTTTATTTTTTTATAATTTTCATGAATTTTCATGATTTCTATAATTTTCTGAATTTCTATGATTTTCTTAAATTTTTGTGACTTTTCATAATTAAAGTAATTTTTTGTGACTTTTCATAGTTATTGTAATTTTTTTGTGACTTTCTAAATGTTTATTATTTTTTTTATGATTTTCGTGAATTTTTATGATTTCCGTGATTTTCGAATTTCCTTGATTGTATTGAATTTTTTGTGATTTTTCGTTATGTAGGCCTTTTCTTGTTTGTTGTCTAGGGGTGGGGGTTGGTTTCAACAATAAAAACACATTATTAAATATTAATAATATTTGGCGCACTTTAATTGCACTGACCGACCGATTGAATGGATTTAGGTTAATGACTAGGCACATTTAACAGCGGAGCACCACCACAGTACAGCCTTCAACTAGCAACTAGGTACACAATGAACTCGTAAAATCACCAACTTCGTCTTAGAATCGTCATCAAAATGTTTATACGTCTTCTCGTCTTTTAATTAATATAATTATCACGTCTTTAATAATTATAGACCACGCGACACGTCCCGTCACGACTGGCCAAGCAACACGTCTTACGTCTTATAATGGTTGTTGCCGACTGCCCCCTGACTTCTGACTTCCACTTATTGTTGCCACTTGCCAGCTACCCCCCTCTCATCTCCACTACCCTCCTAGCCTATACCTGCGCCTAGTCTATTTTTAGAATCAAGGTCAACTTTTAAAAGAGATGCATTATAATAATTTATTATGGAAATATTGAGGAGTTTTCGAATGACATATTTTTGTATTAAATAATTAATCCTACAGTTATTTTCTTAAATTTCTATGATATTTTCGATTTTTCATAAATTTTTGTGATTTTTTAAATTTTTATGAATTTTTGTGATTTTCATAAATTTTTATGTTTTTCGTTAATTTTAATTTCACGATAATTTTTCTGAATTTATTAATTTCTATAGTTTTTCCGAATTTTTGTAATCTTTTCTAATTTTCGTAAATTTTTATAAATTTTCATGATTTTAGTGATTTTCATAAATTTCTAGTTTTTTTTTGTGTTTTTTATAATTTTTTGTGATTCTCTAAATTTTCTATGATTTTTTTGTATTTTTGAGATTTTCATAAATTTTTATGATTTTTGTTATTTTTATAAATTTTTATGACTTTAGTCATTAATATTCATGAAAATCACAAAAATTCAAAAAAATCATAATAATTTAGAATATCACAAAAAGAAAATCATAAAAAAAACAAAAAAAAAAAAAAAACTAAAAATTAATGAAAATCAAAAATCACAAAAATCATGAAATATTACAAAAATTCATAAAAAATTACGAAAGATTATAAAAATTCGAAAAAACTTATACAAATTAATAAAATCAAGAAAATTACAAAAATTACAAAAATAATTAATGAAAATAAGAGAAAACACAAAACGTATACAAATTATCGAAAATTACAAAAAATCCGATTATTCCAAGAAAATTTAAAAAATTGCAAAAATCATAGAAAATACGGAAATTTACGAAAATTGCAAAAAAATACATACGATAATTACAAAAAACTGCAAAAATCATAGAAAATATAAAAATTCACGAAAATTATAAAAATACGAAAATTAAGAAAAATTGCGCAAAATCCAAAAAAAAATGCGATATTTGAAAAAAAAAATTGTATTGCACATTGCAAGATATCGAAAAAAAAAAAGGGAATAAATCGAAAGAAAATACAAAAAATCATAAAAACACGAAAAATATAAAAATTTACGAGAACTACGATGATTCCAAAAAAAATATAAAAAAGCATGAAAAATTCAAAAATTTACGAAAATTGCAAAAATATAAAAACTAACAAAAATTGCGAAAAAAAATACGATAATTTAAATCGCAAAATCAGGAAAAATACAAACATTTACGAAAATGGCAAAAATACAAAAATTAATGAAAATTGCAAAAAATTCAAAAAAAATTTAATAATTGTGAAAAAATAAAAATACGATGACTACAAAGAAAATATGCAAAATCGTAAAAAATCAGAAAAATATAAAAATTTACGAAAATTGCGAAAAATGCGATTATTGAAAAAAAAAAAAAAATACAAAACAGTCGTAGAAAATTAAAAAAAATTATGAAAATCCCAAAAATACTTAAATTAACAAAAACTAAGGAAAATTGCGCAAAATCCAAAAAAAAAATGCGATATTTGCAAAAAAAATAGCATTGCACATTGCAAGAAATCGAAAAAAAATACAAGGGAATAAATACAAAGAAAATACAAAAAATCGTAAAAACACGAAAAATATAAAAAATTTACGAGAATTACGATAATTCCAGAAAAAATACAAAAAAGCATGAAAAATACGAAAATTTACGAAAATTGCAAAAATACAAAAACTAACAAAATTTGCGAAAAAAATACAATAATTTAAAAAATCGCAAAATCATGAAAAATACAAAAATTTACGAAAATGGCAAAAATATAACTTTTTAACGAGTTATATTTCGGCTCAGTGCCGTCGGCTTGACCCCCTAATGAGAAGTGTTTGGTTTCTGACGACGTGGAATGCGTACTGTGAAGTCTGTGGATTGATAGTAGAGTTCAATAAATTAACCAGGTGTATGATGAGTATTTTCAAATATTTATTTTATTGACGAACAACAAATGAAAATGAAATGCTTAACATTCAAAAAAAAAAAAAAAAAAAAATATTAACACAAAATATTATGGAATACTTGTTAATTAAGGCATAGCCACAAAAATATCATCAACTATTTCCGATTGTGTAGTTGGAGAATCCGTTTTATCTATCTCCTTGTAATAATATTTGAAAAAGTTCTGGCTACCCCGCCAATTTCCATTTTCTAGAATGGTGTCCAGAGGGATATTGTTATTCCACCTAGCCGATGCCACTGCTGATCGAATACTGCCTGGAGAGAATGAAATTCCAGCGTCCTTGAAAGCAGTTCTTATCCATCCTGCTATAATGCCCCTAGATGCGGGACTTATTTTCCCCCTGGAGGTAATGAATAAGTTGTTCAGATTTGGCACGGTTTTCCTTCTTTCTTGGGACACTAGAATCAGCTGATTTATCCAGAAAACAGGATCCAAACTTGTATCTGAGGCTTTGAGTAGTTTCCAGCCGGATTGGCGGCGCCCCTTTCCATCTGTTTTCGAACCATATTCTGGCCAAAAAGTGATAGAGTTGTTATCACTCTCTTTGGAGTTCACGTCGATGCTTAATAGAGTGAGGTCGTGAATCCTGCGTCCTGAGGCTAATAGGAGGATCAACGCTACTCTTCTGGAAACATGAAATATGCTACTTTTATCAATTTTTTCTTTTTTCATCCAGTTTATCAAAGTACTTATGTTCCATATCATTTTCTTTTTTGGTTTGGGTTTTGAAATTTCAATCGCCTTGATTAAATGTTTTATCAAGGGATTTTTAACAGTAGTTTCACTCTCTAGCGGGTTTGAAAACGTTACTACCACTGATTTGTGTAATTTTATAGTGGAGGGTGCTAAATGTTTTTCTCTGTGCAAGAAGGCAAGGTATTTAGCTATCTGTTCAGGTGTCGGTTCGTTAGGAGGAATATTCATTTCAGATGTCCAAGATAGCCATTCTTTCCAGGGCGCCGAATAAGTTTTCAGAGTGGTAGTTCTCCAGGAGTTTTGCAACAATTTAACGTCTTCGTGATTTCAGTTTTCCACTAATCTAGACCACCCCGTATTTTCCAGGCCTCCAAATTTAATAGGTGTGCTTTTGGAAGCGGACGTGA